GCGAAAACATAAAGCCCACCCAGAAAAAAAAAAAAAAAAAGAATACAAGTGGCAGGACAGTCAGTCAGCTGAGAATCCCCCCTCCCGAACCACCACACACATACACGGACAGAGCCCCCCGGCAAGTGGTTGGGTGTCCTATCTGTGCCAAGTGACCTTAAACTTTTGGGTCTCTGTTTGGCCCATCTGGGAAGTGGGATCTTAACTTAGTCTATCGTCTCACAATATTGCATGAGGGCAACCGAAATTTTCAGGGACCCATCAACACCCTGATGGCTGCATCTCACCTCCATCGCAGAGGGAAATGGGCACGGCCGCCCTGCGTCCGAGGGTGGGTAGAAATCGGGGGTCAGGAAACTTTCAGCAGCGGAAGCAGGGTAAGAGTAGGGGCTGTCTGTATAAGCAGCATGCGTGTTGGGGTCCCAGTCTGGAAAGCCCGTTGGGGGAGGCAGGCTGCCAAGTCCAGAACCCGCAGTCTCTTGGTGTGCTGGGAGATGAGTATGGCCTGCGTGTGAGAGGAGGGGCCAGGGCAGCCCTGGTTATCAGAGGTGACGATGTCGCATTCAGGGCTGGAGGGTCTAGAGTCTCCCAAGGTACCAAGAGCTAGTACTTCTGAGATAAAGGCTGGAGGGCCTGGACCTCTAGGGCACCAAAAGGCTGGCAGTCTGGCCTCTGGGTCCCTGAAGAATATGCGCACAGACTACTGGGCTCCAGAGAATGTGGGACCAAACTTATACTGGGTCCCAGCAAGGATAAGGGCCTAGGGCCAGCAGGTAGTATAGTGGTTAAGGCACTGGCTCCCATGTGGCTGACTGCAGTTCAAGTCCCAGACCCAGTGGCTTGAAACATGCCAGGCACATATGTATGCAAGCCCCAAAGCCCAGGAGAAGCGACTGCAGCGTGGTCATGGGGAAGTGATTTCTTACTTTCTGTTTCTCTGGCGAGCACATGCACCCTATAGCAAAAATCTCTTTAAAAAAAAAAAAAAGGATGAGGGTCTGACTCCTGGGTTCCCAAAACTTCTCAAAATTGAGCTGCCTGGGTCTCTGAAGGAAGCTAGGGCTCAGGGCTAAGAAAACCAAGTGAGTGTCTAGACTTACCAGCCTCTGCTTCATTCAAAGATGGGAGGGGCTGGGCCAGGGGCGATGGGAACTGTCCCTACAGGCAAAAAGGAACAAGGGTGAATTTAGCGGGCAGGTTGCTCACCACACAGAGGACATGTGCGTCAGCCCTACAACTCTCAGCCCAACATGGCCTCATGAGAGTTGCAGTTTCCTCAGCTGCAGATGAAGGGCTTCCAGGGCCTCACCGGAACTCCCCCAGCGTCAGGCTGCTGTTGGCGGCGCCTCTGCTCTTCCAGGAGCTTCTTCACGGTCTGTGTTGGGCAGTGGCTGCGCTCATTCCGGCTCACTGTAGGCGGAAGGAGGGAGGAACGTCATCAGGGGTCCTTAAGACACCCAAATGCACGGGGTTTGTGGGTTTGGGCGTCCTCCTCGTCCTCCCGCGCGGAAAAACTGGCACATCGATGCCGCCTGAGAACGCCAAAGCCAATAGGAGACTTCGGGTACAGCGCCCGCCTCCGCGGTTTCCTTCCCTTTGCTCCGCACTTTCCTGCTAACCCAACTTTCCACCAGCGTCGTGGAAACTGGGGAAGGGGGAGGAAGGCACCTCTCTGCAGCCTTTCCCCAAACCACTTCCGTAAAAATCCCACGCCCAGATGTCCCAGTCCAGAAGCTGCTGGGCATCACTCCCTGGAAACGCACACCCGGGTTCCCGACATTGCTCTGCCCTAGAAGTTGACATGCTCCTTTCTCCCCGGGAAACCAGGCGTCTGAGTCCCCAGTCCCAACCCCGGAGGAATCACGCATCAATAGCTCCCCAGGGATCCAGAGGTCCAGAGCCCCCTAATCCTACCCCTTTAGACTAGAATCGAGGCCTCATGCGGCGGACGCAGCAGTCGCGAGGTCCAGCACCCTCTTCCCCAGGACCCAGGAGCCCGGGCCCTCAACCCCTTCCCCTCTAGAATCTGGGGGTCTCGGTTCCCAAACTCCTTCCCACCACCCAGGAAGATCGGACCTTCAACCCTCACCCTTCCGAGCCCGGGTTCCGGCGGAGAAAAGGTTAAACGGAGGAGGGCACACTCGGAAACAGCCCAGAGGCGACGCGCTGACGTCATAGCGCTCACGCAAGGGAATCTTCCATCTCGCCCCTCCCCCTCGGGGTCCTGCGCTGCAGGTGTCCTGCTAGGAGGCGGGGCGCGCGGCCAAGCGTGACACTCTTGGAATCCCCGCACGTGGGGAATTCCTGCTCAGTCCGGGGACCCTGGATGGGTGGCGATCCGGGAAATCCCGGGGCGAAGGCAAGGTCACGGCCAGCGTGGACCCCTACGGCCAGGCGCTGGACCTTCCGCACAAAAGCCAGTGGCGGATTTTAAACAACCCCGCCCCCAAAGACTCAGGCCAGCCCCTTTCTAGGGGAGCAGTCTGGGCTGGCAGCCCCCTCTACTCACAGGACCGAAGGGTCTAACCTCTCAGCCTTTTCACCCCCAAGTCTCAGGATTCCAGATCCTCGCTTCCCTTCGCCCCCAAGATCCAGAAGTTCAGAATCCTCGCCGCTTCTCTGTCACGAACCCGGAATCCGGGCTCCCTGCCCTCTCCAAAAACCGGGTGCCCTCACTCTCCGGACTCAGAATTTGATGCTCCAGCCCCGACCCCGAGGGACTCAAGGGTCCGACTCCCCGCGCTCACTCTTAGGGAGCGGAGCGTGCCTCCCTTACCCCACCCGTTACCTCGGGGATTCCGTGGCGCGGATTGCGGGCCCCCAGGGCCGCGGCCTCTGCGCTGCGCCAGTCTCGCAGTTTCCCCGCGGAGCCCCCCCCGGGTCCCCGATCTCGGGTCGGATCCCCCGCTAGATTTTAAATCGTGGCGTTGGCCCCGCCCAGTCCTGGGCGCGGCTCCGCCCACAGGCCTGGGAGTCCCCGCGTCGCGCTCCAGCAAACCCAGTCTCTGAATGGGCGGGGCCGACCTGGAGGACCCCGGTCCTGAGTTTCCCAGAAAACCGGGGCGGGAGGTCAGGATATTTGGTCTGACAGAGCCCTAGGGTACCGGATTCCGGGGGGAGGGGGACACTGAGCAGCCGGAATTCTGGGTCTCTGACCCAGCGGGTGCTGGAGGCTTTGACTCCGGGGCATTGCGGGCGAAGAGCAGTATTACCGGGTGCGGGCGGCGTGCGGGACTGGGGATCCAGACTCCCTGGGCTGTAAGAGGAAAGAGTCATAGTTTAGGGCGATACTGGCGGGCTCAAATTTCTTCCTCTTCGCCACACCACTTCTTTTTAAAATAGTGTAGGGAGCAGGGAGCACTTTGCTGAGCCTGTGGCGGCGTCGCTGCATTCCAGCGGGAGGCCATTCTCAGTTCCCGCTGGGGGACGGTATTGCCCTATTACTCCCGGCTTCAGGGCCACGTGCTGTCCTGGGTCTCCTCCCTCTTCCCTCCTCCTCAGTGTCACTGGGTGGTTCTTCCTCTTCTCTCCTTGTGTGTGTGTGTTGGGGGGTCCTCTGTACTCACTTCCTTGGTGATCTCATTCAGTCTCGTGGTTTAAAATGCCATCCATAAGCCATCAACCCCCAAATTTACATCTCCAGCCTAGACCTAATCCCCTGAACTCATAAATGCGACTGTGATCATTTAGGCATTTCCAGCTCAGTGTGCCCAAACCTCAGCACTTTGCCCATCCTCCATCTCTGTCAGTGGACACTCCACCCTTCCGAGTGGCCTGGCCAGAAGCCTCGATCATGCTGGATCCCTCACTCATACATGCTCACATCCTTGCCATTCGCAGATTTTGTAGGTCTCCCTCCCTCGGAAATAGTTCCAGGCCCGCCTAGTGCCCATGCCCTGGGCTGCCTGTCAGTCCCACCTACACAATCATCGCAGCCTCTCTGGGCTCTCTGACCTCCCCTCACAAGGTTTGTTCTCCAAAGACGGTCACAGTGACACCCCCCCCGACCACACACATACACAGGAAATAGATGGCCTTGCCACCAGCCGGGTGACATCCGCTATTGCTGCATCTTCACTCCCCCATTGTTCTTCAGGACTCCTCTGGACCACAGTCCTCGGCCAGACCCCTTCCAGCCCCTGCCCAGCATGGTCCTTGCAGGTCATATTCTGCTCCTGCTTTTGCTCCCAGGTGAAGCCCGTGCTCATGGGGGATGGCAGGCAGAGTATTCATGACAAGGGAAGCTTGGGTGACATCGGAAGGGAGGGGCGCTGAGGACAGGGGCTTCTCCCTGTGCACCTTCCCTTCCTGGAGCTCCATTTGGCTTCAGAACCTGGGTCCTTGCTGGGGGTAGAGTTCGGGGGTGGGAGTGAGGTGGGGTGTTCTGGAGAGGCTGGTGGGTCTCCCACTCTCATAGCCAGATAGCACGTCCAGCGTTCTGTCTCTGTGTCTCTGGGCCATCCCTTTCCCATATAATCCCTCCAGATCTGATCCCTCCAGAGTGGAGGTGACTTCTCAGACATCACCTCTCCCCACACCCTGTCTCGAGGCCCTCATCTCCCTGTTCATCCACCTTTTCTCTCTCTTTCCACAGTGGCTGCGGCTCAGACAACCCCAGGTGAGAGACGACTCCCTCCCTTTCACCCCAGCAATTGGTCTGAGGGAACGTGGGGTACTGGACTCCAGTACCCACCTCCTTCCCTAGACGTTAGCCTGAGAGTCCTAGGACACCCCCCCTGGGCTCCCCAGACTACCACCTCAGCTCCCATCCCAAACAAGAGCCCACCAGGAACCTTTGCCCCTCTCAGATCCCTTCTTGCCCCCTCATCATCAAATTGAAGCCCCAGGGAATCGGTAACCTGTCAAGCCTGTGTTTGGGAGTAACCCATGTGCCCAGTGCACAGTCCTGGAGGTCCTGGGCCACCTAGTCCTCTCTGGGTCTCCATTCCCCAAGCACAATCCCAGGGGATCTGAAATCCACCCCGCCTCTTCTCCCTATGGCCAAAGTGCAGCACCTGGGATCTAGAACCTACTTAGCTGCCTTCTGGTTGTGGCCCCCACCCTCCAGGTTCCTGCTCCGGATGTGGGTCTCTCCCCCTGCCGCTCCTAGCAGGCCTGGTGGCTGCAGATGCGGTCATGTCACTGCTGATCGTGGGGGTGGTGTTTGCATGTGCACGCCCACGCCACAGGCCCCGCCAAGGTGAGGGGAGGAACGGGGCGTGGCCTGGAGAGTGGGTGGTGTCCCAAGGGAGGGGGGGTCCCATGGAGGGGGTCCCCGGGGAAGCCCTGAAGGAGGTTCTGGGGAAACCCTGGGTGAGGTGCCTGGGAGAACCCCTGAGGAAGTTCCTGAGGCAGGGGGTCACCGGAGGAGGTAGAAATGTGGAGTGGGTGGTGAGTGGTCGGGCTTCATGCGTTCTCTCCCCCACCCCAGAAGATGGCAAAGTCTACATCAACATGCCTGGCAGAGGCTGATCCCTGCAACTTCAGCCTTTGACTTCTGACCCTCTCATCCTGGATTACATGGGGTGACAAAGGCGCTCCCCGACACACACTTGGGTTGGAATAAAGCAGTTGAAGTACCTTTAATTTATTCTTTTGTTTCCTTTATTCATGATAGGGCATAAGAAAGAGAGAGAGAGCGAGAGGTGAGCACTTTCCACGGTGTCTGATCCTACCACTATGCCCTTCCAGCCCTCCAGCCCTCCAGCCCGCTGGATCCTGGCCACTTGAGTACCTGCCAGGCATGTTCCGGCCTGATCAGGCTGGTTGTTAGAAACACAGTCACCCTGTGGAATCCAACTTCTCTTGAGCAGCACGCTATCCCTGTACTATGGAGCTGGCTCTGTCATCTTATTTTTCTCAATGAACCTCATGGTTCCCAAAGCCTCTCTCCCCTATTTGTCTGTTTCTGGGTCCAAGACCTCCCTTGAGACCACACATTTTCCCTTGCCCTCAGTCCAGGGATCTGGCATAACTCAACAATGTTTTTGTGTTCTGCGTTGTTTATTTGGGGGCAGAGGAGGGGCAAGGTCTGAAATGTTAGGAAGGACACTCTGGAGATCTGTATCTCGGTAGGAATAGGACTGAAGGGCTGGGTGGGCATCAGGAACAGCTGGATCCAGGCATCAGGTTGCTGGTTGTCGCGGTTTGGGCTCATTTGTAATACTGCCTCTGTGTGTTGAGGTCGCTGTAGACATCTGACCGCTGGCCCTGGAGCTCCTAAAGAGATGGAGGCCATCAGTGGGCAGGGTAGAGACCATCAGTGGAGAAAGGTGAAACAAAATCTGGCCCTCTTCCAGTGGCCTGCAAGGCCCCTGGCAGCTTCCTTGACCCTGCAGCCATGGAAGAGATCTGGCTTTTATTCAACTGCAGTCAGTGTTCTCCTTGCCCCTCTGCCTCATCAGTATGCCCCAGCCTCAGGGCCTTTGCATGTGCTGTTTTCTCTGCCTGGAATACCGATCCCCTACATTTTCCCATGGATGGTTTCTTCTCCCACTTCATTTTTTTTTAAGAGTGACACAGAGAGAGACAGAAAGAGGAAAAGTGAGAAACCACCCCCCAGGGGGGATGGCCACACTGCAGTCCCTTCTCCTCCATCCTCTTCTCAGAATTTTGGGCACGAAAGTACATGCACTCAGTGTGAGTTTCAAGCCACTGGGTCTGGACTTCAGACCACAGTCAACCATGTAGGAGACCAGTGCCTTAATCACTATGCCAGCTGCTGCCCCCCTTCTCCCCACTTCTAGTCTCAGCTCAGGTCACCTCCTCAGAGAGGTATTTCTCAATTTCCCCCTCTATAGTTTCTTCCCCCACACTCCAGATCAGCTTTTTATTTTCTTCACAGTGCCTCCCAAAATAATTGTATTAATTTGTTTCAAGCCTGTCTCCCCAACTAGGATTGAACTCTGCCACCGTGTCCTATCTAGCACTAGATTCTTCACAAACCCCCTGCAGGAATGAGCTGGGACAAGGCTTTGGCCTAATATTTCTTTGCTCTGGTAACAGGAAAACACCCTCCGTCTTCTGGACCTCACAGAACCAAACTTGAGCCTCTCCCACTTTTTATCCACAGTCTGCCAATATGCAAAGCTAATTGCAAAGGATAACCTAGACTTCACAGAGCAGGGTTCCCAATGGTGGTGGTGGTCAGGATCCAAGGGCAGACCTCAGACGGAATCCCCAAAATAGTGTACAAAAGTCTAATTTTTGGGGACCAGCAGTTAGCATAATAGTTATGTCTCTGGACTCCCATGTAGCCAACTGCAGTTCGAGTCCCGGATCCAGTGGCTTAAACTCATGCTGGGCGCGTGTGCGTGTGTGTCCAAGATCCTGAGAGGAGAGTAGAGGAGAAGGGATTGTGGTGTGGCCATCCCCCCTGGGGGGTGATTTCTCGCTTTCTGTCTCTCTGTCTCTCTCTTTCTGGTGAGCACACGTGCCCTATTGTAAAAAAAAAAAGAAAAAAAAAATCTCCAAAACAAAAAAACCACTAATCTTGATTAGCCTTGGGAGCATTTTCAAGTCCCTAATAGAGGCAGGGAGCTGGAGAGCTGCCTCTGTCTCCATTTTTTTTTTTTAAGAATTATTTATTGGAGGGGCCGGCAAGTGGCATGGTGGTTAGGGGCGCTGGACTCCCACATGGCCGACTACGGTTCAAGGCTCAGACCTGGTGACTTGCTTTCTCACTTCCTCTCTCTCTCTCTTTGTCTCTCTCTGATCAAACTGGAAAATAACAATGATGATAATAATAAATAAAGTTAAATAAAATAATTCTTTAAAAAAAAGAATTATTTATTGGGGACAGTAGGTGGCGTAGGTGGCATGGTGGTTAAGGGTGCTAGACTTTCACATGGCCAACCATGGTTCAAGTCCCGAACCTGGCAACTTGCTTTCTCATTTTCTCTCTCACTTTCACTCTGTCCCTCTCTGGTCAAATTAAAATAAATAAACAAAATTAAATAAAATAATTCTTTTTTTAAAAAAACTCTAAAATTGTTTATTTTAATTAATTAATTATTATTATTCAATTTGACTAGAGAAAGACAGAGAAAGAGAAGGAGAATGAGAAAGCAAGCTGCCAGGTCCAGGAGTTAAACTGGTCACCCACGTGGGAGTCCAGTGCCTTAACTACCATGTTCACCTGCCAGTTCTTTTTTTTTTAATTTAATTTATTATTATCTTTTAATTTGTTATAGTGCACATGCACTCAACAGAGAGAAAAAGAAACCAAACCACCAGGTCTGAGACTCAAACCACAATTGGCCATGTGAGAGTCCAGTGCCTTAATCACAATGCCACCTGCTGGCCCCCTACATCATGGTTTTTCAGGAGGGTTCCAAGGCTACTCCTGACACCATGGGATTATATGTAGTTTTGTGGTTTGGGGTGGATTTTTTCTGAGGACTCTCTAGCTGTTGTCAGCTTCTCAAAGGGAAGAATCCCACCCTCCAAATTCTAGGACTCTCTCTTCAGAGTTACCGAACTAGGGCTGAATTCTATCCTCTGCTGTATTGAGAGCTTCTCCTAGAAATAAGCGGGGCTTGTTTCAGAACAGTCCGAGGCCTGGCTTCCAGTGAGGCCTACCTTTGCCCTTCCTCTCCCCGCATTGAAGCTGAACATAAAATCGTGGTTGATAATCTAACGTAGTTTTAGACAGACACCCATTTGTTCTCAAGGTTTTGGGGAGCTACTGGGAAAGTGGTTTCTGGGTCCCCAGGAAGGCCTAGAGGTATTTAGGACAAATATCCAGTGCACGAGTGAGAAGTGAGGAAGAAAGTATGGTTTCTCACCTGATAAGGCGACTCTGTCTCAGTGATGCGCTGTTTCCGGGTCACTGCTGAGAATTGAGGTGGTGAGGGTGCGAAGGCAGACAGGGTGGTTAGTCGCCACTATTTGGTTGTTTCAAAATCAGCCCCTCCATTACTGTGCTGATGTTTGTGACCTAGGTGCATACCCGCCCCCACCAGGCAAGTCTGTCCCAGGCTATCCCCTGCCAACCCCACTCACCCTCCGCAGCCCCTCGTCCCCGAGGGACAAGGCGACCCAGGGAGTACACAGCCAGGGCGATGAGCAGCGTCAGCACCAGGTCGCCCAGCACGATCCCCGCCAGCACACCGGGGCTCACGGGGGAGCAGTTGCATTCTGGGAACGTGGCACAAGGGTCAGGGAAGGTCCACGTGAGTTGGAAACTGGGAGGACGGGAGTGTCAGCAGGGAAAAGTATTGAGGGAGGGACAGAAATGGGGAGGTTTTTAGGAGGAAAGGAGAGGGATTGCAGGATCTAGGCCTACCGCTCTGGGCCTGGACAGGACTGAGACCTGAGGAGGAAAATGAAGGCAAACTGAGGCACGGAACTATGACTGGGGGGTGGTGTATAAGCTGGGGATGGTGGGTCCTGCTAGCCAGCGGGCAGGGTGGAGGGCAGCATTGGGCAGGGCTCAGTGGCTGGCGTCAAGGCTACCAGACTATTGCTTTTACAACGACTTGTCCGGTTGCAACACCCTGCTATGTCCCCTCCCACTGCTTCTACATGAGGCCAGGTCTTGGGGGCTCCGGTGCCGAGAAAGACCCACTGACTTTGGGGTACTGGGGCCTTAATCCCACCTCAACCCTCCCCCTTGTTCTCTTGCTTCCACCCTGCTCCCTGCCCTACCCGGAGCTGAGCCCAAGACTCAGGAGGCCGCTGCAGAGCCCCCAACTCACCGCCCACAGTCAGAAGGAGAGGCAGGAGCAGGAGCCTGCCGGAGGGTTCGAGGCCCCCCATCATGCTGGGACGCCGCCGGACACCACCGTCCAAGGGCCAGTGGGATGTGGCGTAGGTCCAACCAAGTGAAGGAGGAAGTCTGAGGTGGGTGGTGGCAGGAGGGAGGAGGAGACAATAGGGGAGGAGAATCAGAGTGAGATAAAACCAGAGAGAATCTGGCTGAGACGCCAGGATGCCGCACCGCGGCCCCCAGGTGCTGGACCCGAAGGGCAAATGGTACATGCTACTTTTCTTTTTCTTTTTCTTTTGCTTTTTTTTCAGTTTCTTTCTTTTATGAGAGTGAGAGACAGAGAGAGACAAGTATTCCCAAAAGGGTCTCATTCCTCCATCTACCCACTTGCCTTCTCTGCCAGGATTATGGGGGTGTGCATCTGGCATGTGTAGATCAACCAGGGGACCGAACCAGCAATCTGCAGAAGGATTCAGCCTCACTTGAGCAGCATGCCACCACGTCGGCTCCAGAGGTCAGCTCTTGACCTCCATTCCCAATCGGGGGCCAGACACCATTGTAATAGGAGGACCAGGGGCTATGACTGAAGCCAGCTCTGCCTTTCCAGCTGGGCGGCCTCAAATCACTCAACCTCTCTGGGACTCAGTTGCATCCTCTATAAAGCCAGGAGTGAAATAGTACCTACTTTGTAGTTTTGTCGCGGGGACTAACCGAATGAGTGCTCCTAGGACAGGGTCTGACTCTTGTCAACTTTTTGATGTGTATCAGCTATAATTACTATTATTTAATAATCAGAATTTTGTGATGGTCATAGAATATTGTGAAATCCTTCAGTGCGTGGTCACTAACGGTGTGCAGGCACTCTGTCCTACGTATTGAAATAATTTCATTTGGGGATCAGCAGATGGCATGACGGCTATGATGCTGGACTCCCACATAGTCAACTTTGGTTCAAGTCCCAGACCCGGTGGCTTGTTTTGTCGGGGGTGTGTGTGTGTGCATGCCCAAAATCCCAACAGGAGAATGGAGAAGGGATTGCAGCGTGGCCATCTCACCAGGAGGTGATTTCTTGTTTTCTGTCTCTGTCTCTCTAACAAGCACATGCACCCTTTAGCGAAAATCTCTCTTAAAAAATTAGTTAAATAAAAATCATTTAATCGCCACAACATTCTTCTGAAGGAGGACCCCATTTTACAGAGAGGTAAGGACACTTGCCCAAGGTCACACAGCAAATAAAGGTAGAAGGGGAACCCGGGTTTCAAAGATGCATTTATTTATTTATTTATTTTTGATACAGGGTCCATGAGTTCTCCAGAAAGACAGAGATGGATGAGGGGGAGTAAGAAAGCACCCTCCAGGACCAGCAGGTGGCATGGTGGTTAAGGCACTGGACACTCCCACATGGCCGACCATGGTTCAAGTCCCAGACCTGGTGGTTTGCTTTCTCACTCTCTCTCTCTCTCTCTCTTTCTCTTTCTGTGTGTGTGTGTGTGTGTGTCTGGTCAAATCGAAACAAATGAATGAATAAATAATATTAAATAAAGAATTCTTAAAAAAAAAAAAAAGAAAGAAAGAAAGAAAGAAAGCACCCTCCATGGGCGGATGGCCACACTACAATCCCTTCTTCTCCATTCTCTTCTTGGGAGTTTGGGCATGCACAAGAACCCGGAGAGCTTTTCAAGCCACTGGGTCTAGGACTCAGTCCACACAGTCGGCCATGTAGGATCCAGGCACTCGCTGGCTCCAAAGAGGTTTTTGACTCTTAGAGGGAAAAAATAAAAAGACTAAAGATAGGGGGACCAGCAGGTGGTGTGGTGGTTAAGGCGCTGGACATTCCCACATGGCTGACCATGGTTCAAGTCCTGGACCTGGTGGCTTGCTTTCTCGCTTTCTCTTTCTCTCTGTGTCTCTCTCTGGTCAAAATAAAATAAGTAAATGAATAAATAAAATTCAAAATAATTATAAAAAAAAAAGACTGAAGATAGAGAACAAGAGTCAGAGAAGGAGGAAAATGGCA